GTGCGATTTTTCTTATAGTTTAGTATGATAATACGTCTTTAAATTATGTACATATTTCGTATATCCGAAAAAGCAAGACGAAGCAATCTAGATTGACATTTTTAAATAAATTTTTCATTTACCTTTATAATGGAGTATAACTAAAAATCATCCTTTAAATTCAGTCTTGAGTACTTTAAGTAGGTTAACAAACAACACAATATCATTCCAGGTGAACTCTTTAAATATTCTCAGCTGAGCTCTGAGCGGGTATTTACTTTATATATTGTGCTTTATCATACAGGGTACCTTTTATTCGATTTCAGTCCACTTTTAGTTAATTAAATGAAGAGGTGAAAACTACGGAATGTCAAATGTTTCAAAACAATTTCACCAAACGCCTCGGCGTACACACAGAGAAGCCTCAGTTCCCCACATATTGCAAAAGTGTTATGAATGCAGAGGGGTGGGCAACGGGTAGCTTTCAGTGTGTCTGTTATTTGTGTGTGTGTGCATGTGTATGTGAATGTGGGTTGTGTTGTGTTTGCTTTTGCCTCACATTGCACTTGAAATAGTTTCTATGCACATAAAAATTTCATTTGTTTGCTTTTTGCTATTTCTATTTCTATTCCTATTCATATTCCTATATCTATTTCTGTTGTACCCACACATAAACCGTATATCGTATGCAAAAGAGCGCTCGCCCATTATCATATTTTCTTATCAAGTGACTCAACTTTGTTGCTTCTTTGCTGGCGTCGGCCAACTATAAACAGATAGATATAATAATAAAGGCCGAGCGCAATAACAACAATTGCACGAATTGTGCAATTCAATTTATAGGCCTAAAGTGCGTAAGGGTATTAAGCAAACTGGGGGATTCCAAATGCAAAGCTGGATATTCGTAGGAGCGGTTAACTTTGTTTAAATTCTAAACATTTAAATCAAATAACCTTCAAGCAGATGTGTATTTCTTCAAGTTAATGTATCTAAGCTGTACGCTGACATCTTGTTTAGCGACAATATTAATTTATCTAAAATGTATTAGGGTATTAATCAATTCTATAGTATTGCTTTCTGATTTGTTATAGTTCTATCATTAAGTAACTTATGGATTCTTTAAGAACAATTTGGTAGCACAACTTTTAAGCAATTCTTGAATTTGAATATAAAGACTTTATATAGTTTTTATATTTCTAAGAAAAATGTATGTTTATGTATGAATCTAGTTCTTAAATTACAATCAAATTAATCCAGAGGAATGTCGCAAAGGTTAGGGCTTGTGCCTTAACTTAAGAAATTGGGTATAGCGAAAAAGATGCAAAACTTGTTTTCTTAAAAATGTAGAATTCATCTGCGACACAATAATTGTATCTAAAAGGAAAGTGTGGTACTTTGTATTATTTATTACAAAAAAAAATAAATTATAACAATGGCAAATAATATCTTGTAAATTTTGAAAGAAATAGATGTATTTTAATTAAAATAAATTTTAAAATTAACAAAGATATCTTAAGTATTTGCAAGCACTCAAGCTGCTCAATACCCTAAGTAAATATTGGATATTGGCACACTCTGTTCTCGTATGGCTTCCCGTGTTTGTGTTCTCTTATGGAAAAATTACAATTATGCCAGTCAGGCAGACAGTAAAAGGATATTCCACATACTTTCTACCCCTTTCACCGCATGAAAAAGGGCAAAGTCGTGAAACCGCAAAAAAAGGGAAACCACAAAACGTTGCAATCAATGGCACTTCGTAGGGGGGCAGGTAATATAAAACGCTCTAAAGGGGGCGTGGCACAAATACGATGCCGTACCAAATTGCAAATGCAATTATGCAAATGCTTTAAAAGGCCAGGAAAGTAGAAGAACTATATACCTATAGAGAGAGGGAGAGAGGGAGAAGTGAATTTATAAAAAAAAGGGTAATAAAATCAAAAGCAATTAATAAACCAAGCAAAAGACACAATTGATATAGAGCCCGAAACGCGCAATTAAACTAAAATAAATTGTGCACACGCGCCAAAGGCCCAAAACAAAATGAAAACAATGTGCAACGAGACACCGAAGAATCAATACCCTTGTTTACAAAGGACTGAAAGATCTGCAGATTGGTCGAAAAAAATAAATAAAAGTTGCCCATTTCATTTCAACCGATTCTTGTAGAGATATATTAAACAATATCCTGATGTTAATAAGATTTTTCCCTTTTGAAAAAACAAGAGATGTTTTGAAACTCAACTGAACGCTCTTAGGGCAGATCTATAAAATAGGGGTTTCGATCCGAATGTTTTGACCCTTGTGAATGGATATTACCATAGCTTTAAAACCGAGAGTATAATTTGGACTCGGCTGTTGACACTGATCAGGAATGGATATACTATATGGGCTCAGAAACTTCTTCTTCCAAGCGTTACATATTTTGTCACAAAATTATAATACCTTCTACCGGGTTACATGTAAAGCCGAAAGCAAAAGTTGCTCTTAAATGTGGAATCGATATGTGCAGCGTATGGATTTGGAGGGGTTTGCCCAAAAGGTCTCGTGGGTAAACATACAGCGAGGGTTGACTAATGAAACCCGATTGTTTGACTTCCCAACCCCCCCGCTGGAACTGGAACACGATACGTTTTTTTTGCCTTTACCTTTTTGTGCTAAAATTGCAGCCGCCGATGAGCTCAGAGCCCAAATCAGAATAGTCAGATAAGAGCTGGCACAATACAATGCCACGCCCCATTGGTAAATTTCTATGCTAGACATAAATAGGGTATGCTCCTACGTCGATCACAATTTGTGGCATGCGCTGTTTGCCCTTATCTGTGTAATTCTATCAAATTACAATCGAGCAAATGTTTTGGTTCCTGTCCTGAAATCTGATAAGCAGCCCCCCCGACAAAGTCGCTCTACTGTTAAATTATGTGTTGAATGGTGTTCTCTTAGGGGGGGAGTAGGAAGCGGCTTGCATAATATTTATAAAAATAGTCGATTGTCGCATGGTGGGGCATTTGATTAATTAATGAAAAGTGCGCAAAAAATACAATTTAATTATAATGTAAACTACGTGACACCCTGGAAACGCTTCAGTGAATAGCTTAGGCATAAAACTATTTGAATATAATAGTTAAATTAGTTATTGCCTTTCCGATTACTCAAGATCATGAGGGAGATCATATTTTAACTAAGCTGTAACCAATATATTATTTTGTATCCTTACCAAACATCAAAATCACAGATATTTAACAGCAGATAGGTGTATAGATAGAAGTTTCTTTAACCATAGATACTTTTCATGTTTTTTCAAAAGTAAGAATGCAAAATATCTTTTACAGAATATTTGGCGTTTATGTATATTTGTTTATGTAACACATGATTTCTGTATATGCCACATAATTTGTATTCTTATAAATTACATTTTTTGTTTCAACAAGCACATATTGTTAATTAAGTACTAAACATATCTTTTTGCTGGCTGCAATTTATTGACAAAAGGTTCATGCATAAACTGTAGCATATTTGCGGGCGTTCAGGCGCGCATTAATGCAAAGTGCTTTGGAATAATGCGAACAGCAGGCGGTGGCAGAGGTGGAGACAGAGACAAACGACGACGACCCACTTAAACGCCTTGCCCCGCTGAGGTAATCACAGTGCGCCGTTTGTTGCATGTAGCATGGGTGCCGGCATGCAATTACGTATACGCCCTGTATCTATCGGCCAAAGCCCACGCTGCGCCGGCCAACTAACAAGTGGTCCCGCGAGAGAGCAGCGAGCTGCTGGGGCTGCAAGTGGGTGCCGGTGCGAACACCCACACATATATACAAAAGGTAGCCGGCACACACAATACTTGAGCTTCTATTGAAATGGAAAACAAAAGCTGCACGTAAAGCGTTGCCGAATCCATGCAAGGGCGCAAAATGTTGCCAGCTAAAACTTGCCACAGCTGTTCGGGCAGGTTGAAAGTTCAAGCGACACTGCGACAGCAGCAGCAGCCACAACAACAACAGCAACAACAACTGCGTTGCGTCCTTGGGCATGCTTTTTTGGTGTGGCTGCAGCAGCAGCAGCTGCCCCCCCCGTGCCGGCGTATTGCAGCCAGCAAAGGACATTTGCTGCCAGCCGGGTTGCTGCACACTGCGCACATGTGAAAATCAATATGGAAAGCACTCACAGAAAACCAACTTATAAGCGGTGCTCCTCCATATGCCCAATAGCATTGCCAAACTCACCTAGTTGTAACGAATTGAACAAACATAAATATTCATTCCACTTGATTTAACAGAAATGTTCGATTGCTTTTTAAAATGCCTCAAATGAAACTAATTTTCATTACAAGCAAAACAACAACAAGGCAGAAAAATATACAGCTTACGAAATAAACAAGAACAGCAACAACAACACGGTTTACACTTTAGCCACAGTTCACTGTGGCTGGCTGTGGCTGCGTTTTGATTAGAGCCCAGACACTAACAGCACCAACAACAACAACAACAACAAGAAGAACAACTACAACAAACACTAAATAAAATAAGCAATGCAAATTGATTGAAACACAACATATTTCAATGTTGTTGTAGCTGCTGCTGCTGCTGTTGTTGTTGTTCTCGTTGTTGTTGTTGTTGTTGTTGCAGTTGTTGTTTTTGCTGCTGCTGCCTGGCCTTACATGCATTTAATTTAAAACACTTTTGTTTTTTTTAAGTTTTCATCGTTTGCTTTCAGTTTCTGTTTTTATTGTTATTGTTATTACCTGTTTTGCGTATGAAAGAAATCAAATTTAGAATCAAAATCAAATCAAATCAAATTGCCGCCAGAAAGAACAGCAACAACGGCAGCAACAACAATAACCACAACAACCTGCAAAAAAAAAACTCGCGTGGCTAAAAAATGTTTTTGAAATTCTCTTTTATATATATTTTTTTTTTACTAAACGATCTGAAACGCCCACTCGCATATCGCGCCCACACGCACCGCGATAACAAGCTCAACAATAATAATAGTAGTAAAAAAATGTGCTGCTGCTTGCGTACTTTGACTTGGTCGACGGGCCCCAAACAAACGTTAGTTAGTTGGCCAAAAAACTGAAAGAACTTTTATAATAAATTCTCTATTTGAAACTGAGAACTCGCCAGCGGCTAACCGTGAGACCGAGAGACGTGCGCGCACTCGACGACGACAACCTTCGCGTTTCAGTTGCGCGAACAGACTGTTTTTTCGAAACGCTGCCCGCTGAGAGCGAAGAGCGCTAAAGCAGCGCAGCAGCAGAGCAGCAGCAGCGCCAGCAGCTGACGCTGGCAGCAACAGCAGCATTGGTCGATTCGCGACGCATCGCAGCTGATTGATAAGAGACGTACGCTCGCACACGCACACACACACACACACACACACACACACATGTTCAATTAATTTGCAATTATCAAATATGCAATGCAATATTTCAAGAGCAACAAAATAAGTTTATAAAATAAATTAATAATATATACAATGGTATATATATGTTATCTAAGTAATCTTCAAGTTCATTATAAATAAAAAATAAAATAAAAAATTATATTATATTAAATTATATTATATTGTATTATATTATATTCTATTATCTCATATGTTACTTAATATTATATATATATATTAAAATAAACCTAGATCTTGTTTCAAAATATGATTTTCCGCATTTTTCACAATATTTTATTATTTTGTTTAATCATTATGTAAAAAATTAAATTAATCACAATAATTTTTTCAAATAAAAAAAGCAATTTGCTTTAGCAAAACTATAAAACTATCTATAAATTCATCAGTTAAATTCCACGTATAATTATTAAACCTGTAAGCTTAATAATATTTTTTTATTTTTCATGGTTTTTCACATTTTTCACGATATTTTCAATTTAGCAAGAATTATTTTTAAATTGCTCAAAGCTCATTAGAAAACGACTCAAATATTCAAGAACTTCTCTCAAATTCTGTGTGCAGCGTTTTTTCCAGGGAATTGACCTTAAAATAAGTCCACGAATATTTAAATACTGGGTCAAACGATTTTGGCAATACCAAGTTTCAAGTTCAAAAAATGCCCAAAAAAGTTCAAATTTCAGTTTTCCATTGGCTCGATTTAAAACACTAAAATAAAGTCACGTACTTTCACCAAAACTATATATAAAATATATAATATGTTTAAATTAACTTATTGAAACTACTTTTCAAATGGTCGGGCCAATTGATATAGAAAGGGTAAAGTATTGCCTGTTGTGAATGGATATTTCTTCTATTTAAGAAATCTGCACCGTGGTTGGCTATAAACGAGTACCCGATTTTGTATGGCTATCTTTGTGAATAATTCGAATTATTTACGCTACTCTAAGCATGACTCCTGTCCAGTTGGTGATGGCATTCGAAGCATGACTCAAACTGAACGAGAGCTAAATTTATTATTTTGGAAATTACGGAATGGATGACTTGTTTTTAAAGACCAATATTTGTCAGCAACAAATGTGTGAATCATGTTTTTCATTTTATTCTATAAGTTAAATGTACTTTCTATTTCGACAATATTTCGAATCGAACAAACCTTTACGAATTTCAAAGTTTTATCTAAGCAGCCCAAAAAGGGCTCATTAAATAAGCAAAAGGACATGGGGCAGAGTCCTCGTTAGCTGCCCCAACAAGGTTGCGGGCGTAGTTGGAAAAATTCGATTCGACAAAAACTGGATAATTTATGAAGCGACCCAGAAAGCACGACGTGGCCAGCGAGGCCCATTGGAAATGAGGAAACCCAACCAATTAATAAGTAGAAATTATGAAATGGAAAATGGAAAAAGTCAAATAGTGAAAATAAAAATAAAACTAAAACGGAAACACAACAACTTCATTTGAGTTATGCGCTGCCGAAACGCAGCTCCAGCTCGTCGCCTGTTCCACCTCCCACTTCCCACCCACGACTTTCAAGTGTCCTTGCAATTGGCGCAAGGCGCTTAGTCCAGCAACCTGCTAGTCCTTTGGCGACCTAAATACCAGGCAAGGCTTCTAGCTGTATGTCCCAAAATGCAAATACTATTTCAAACACTCAGAGAAAAGCAAAGTACTTCGAAGTTCCGAGTTATATTTTTATTTACTTTAATTTTGATCCAAGCCCTACTTGATATCAAAACTGTTACACCTTCTGTCAAACTATTTTGTTCTTTAAATCTTACGTATATTATCTCAAATGGGCTACTCCTTTGCTTAAACACTTTGGGAGTCAAATTAGGATTCTTAAAAAAAGAATTTTTCACTCAAGAAATTTCGAGCTTAACTGTTACTTAAAGTGCTTAAAAAGTGTAAATAAAATTAAGTTTTTCTTTCTTAAACCGATCATTATTATCGAGCATTATGCTTGACTTGTTATTCAAATTTGATTGATTTTTATTGGTTGGTCAATACCCGTTTTTTCGCTAAGTGTAGCTGTTTCAGGTATATGCTTGCTGCCTGTTTCTCTCGGTGTAGGCCTAGTTGCTCCAGTTTCGGGACTTGGCCATAGCCATGTGGGAGTTGTCCTATTGATTTAATTTCCACTATTCTCAGTGACGCAATGCGCGACGTTGTCGAGTTGAATGCGCTGTGTCGCCGCGCCGCGGAGTCCCAATAATCCGGAGGCGCCTCCAAGGGGTTGTTTTTGCCACATTCTCTGTGGCGCTTGGCTCATAAGCCATGTTTTAGTTTTGTTGTTGTTTGCCGGCGCCACAATGACTGCGCATAATTTTATGGTTTTTGTGTAGTTGTCTCAGTTCCCAGGCGACTTGTTATTGTGCCTTAGGCCATAATTGATATCAATATTTTCGGCGAGTGCCACAGAAGCCCCTCTGGCTAATGCTCAGCGAAATGCAGACAAAGACCACTGCAGCTGACTGCCTGGGCAACATGACCTAGACATTTTAGTCTATTTAAACATACTTTTCTCGATAGCGATCAGTTGTGCCAGTGTTGTGAAGGTCATTGTGAGGCAAGGTCTTAGTACAGCTCAGCTAATTTGCATAGTAATTAATAAGTTGATGACTAATGATGAGGCGCAGGCTGCATCTGTATTGACAATGACTTAACTTGGACACGGCGAAGAGTCACAAAGTAAACTTGACTCAAAAGTTGGCTTAAAACTGAGCTAACTATTTGTCAACAAATATTAGTCAACACTGGGTTAATTAAGTCACCTTCCGCTGATTAAATCGCACCATCTTGCTTAAGTGGACCAAGCGATTTTGCGATTTTGTTAACAATTTCAACAATTTCTTTTTTCCCCATTAATCGAACTATGTTTAATTAAAACACATACAAGCTGTGTTCAGTCTATATTTATATTGATAACATTCCAGGCAACAATTTAACTAGAAATTCGCCAATTCAACTGAGTCAACAATGAGGTAATATCTGTGCCCAACTTTAAATACAGTGCAAAACTCGGGCGCGGGAATGTATTCGAGGTGAAACATGAAAAATCGTTTGTTGTAACAAGTGCGCACTGCACTTGAAGTACTGACAAATTGTTTAACTTCAGCCCGCCCATCCCCTGCCCTCCTGTACCCTCTCCGGCAGCCTCTGCCAACAGACAGGCATCAGCTGATAAGACAATTGTCGGCCTTTGTCTCTGACTCGATTGAGTGGGTGAGTTGTATATATATATATATGTGTATATATGGGCTGTAGACCAGGTTCTCTGGCATTTTATCAGCCTTTGGTTGGAGCTGCTGACCCACTTGCATAACCGTCGTTGTGTCCATGCACTTCCTCAATGCATTTTAAAACAAACATTGGCAATTGTCTTCGTATTTGGAGTATCAATTATACCATATCTGTATTTATATATATACAAAAAGTGGGCGTTGCGAGTGCCATTTGGTTGTTAATCAATGAATGTGGCGAGTCTGAATTTATTTTTTAAAGAGTTTTTAGTGCTTGGATTGGTTTTCTGGTGAATCACTTCAAATTGTTTGCCTGTCGGGCGTGATCGTAAATTTCCTTATTAGCTACGCACATCAACAGCAATTAAGCTGATCAAACGAAATTTTCACAATATTTTTTGATAGCTCTCTTGATTGTCATGGTGTGTGGCTAATTGGCGCAGTTTTCGCATGCAATTTCTTCAATGATTGTGAACATAAATAAGAAGCAATACATATTTACAAAGACATTTTTGTTATTTGCATGTATATTTGGCACACAAATTATTTCAACTCTTACTCATATAATTTTCATATTAAATGTGCTGAAATTTTTATAAAAAAATCTTTGCACACATTTTTAATATCTAATCTGAAATATTTGAACGAACCGCCAAAGTGTGCTTGCTATGCGAAGCTGATTGCTACAGCACGCCAAGCTGGCAGCGCCTTTGCTATAATGTACTAAAAATACCTAAAGTTCAGCTATCTGGGCACTCTGCTGTTGCTTTACAAATAATTTGCAGGCAATTTGTTTTAAGCTGCCAAAAAAACATAAACAAATTCAAATGGACAGCAACAACGAACTGTCAGAAGACCTAATCAGACGCCTGAGCGCTGGCGGCGGCCTGGGTAAGTCGAGAATTATCGCGCGCTGCAGCTGGCATGCAACCTGCGCCAACAGCTCGTGGTAAGGCCAACACAACTACAGTGTGTCCACGAAGTCTGTGTGCAGCAACAGTTGTCAGCTAACTAATTTAATCCAAAACATTGCAGAAGAAGTTATTGCCAGCGAAATCTTTGAGGAGACCAACATATACGAGGATGCGAACGATGCGGAAAATGAGCCAGACGACATCATCATTGTGCACATGGACATACGAGAACCGCTGAGCACACTCAAGTAAGTCCAGCCTAGATTTGAGCAGGTGTCGTGTTTTTTGTTTATGTCGTGTCACGCACGACAGCAAATCCCGTTCATGGTACAAAAATTGAGTTTTAAAGCTTATTAATAAATGTACTTAGAAAGTCGTGTCGACACACGCTCCTCTTGTCCATTTCCAGCCTTAAGCCAATTCTGACTTTTGTTTTTCCTTGCAGAAAACTTGTGGAGCAAAAGATCGGCGTGGAACTGCACTACTACACATTTTGTCTACAGGATGCTCAGGAGGTAACAGGTTTATATACAATTTTGAGTCTGACTAATGGCAATAAATTGCAGCTGGAGCCGCACAAGAACCTGGTCGATCAGTGCGTCAAAGGCGAGGGTCTGGTGCAGATCAATGTACAAATCCAAACAATACGCAAGAAGATCAACATTGCGGATGTGCTGAAGCCCACGGAGGCGGCGCTGGCCACCCTGGCCATTGAGGAGGCAGCACAGCTCAGCGCCCAGGACACGAATAGCAGCGGCAAGAGCTCGACCAGCGATAGTCCAAGCAAAAACAGCAAAAAGCGCAAGCACAAAGCAGATGACGCTTACGATGTGGATGTGGTTACAGACGAAGACAAGGACGTGGATGTGGAGGCGGCCAAGCCTGTGCTCAACTGGGTGTTGGATAGCAAATTTAAGCGCGAGCAAATACGTCTCAAAATACCCGAAGCAGTCAGCGAATGGACGCCAGCGCATGTCGCGCACTGGCTCGAGTGGGCGGTCAAAGAATTTGAGCTGCGAGACCTCAACATAGACGAATGGCATATCACGGGCCAGGCGTTATGTTCTATGACGCACGAGCAATTCAGTCGCAAACTGCCGCGTGATCCGGGCAATGTGTTCTGGACACACCTGCAGCTGCTCAAGGAATGCAATTTCGTGTCGGTAGTGCACAAACAGGCCGAGGAGCTGCGCAAACCCAAGCAGGGCAAAGCGGCAATGAACCCTGGAATGGAGCAGCGCATTATGCGCAAATCCTTGCAGAGCGTCAAGGACAATGACTGTGAGTAGCCTATGCCAGGAAATCCACAGCTTACCTAAACCTCTGCCTCCTACAGCCTCCGAGAGCTCGACGGCGCCCCAGAGTCCAAGTCACAACAACAGCATTGGCTCCGGCAACAATGGCCAGGTGCAGCTGTGGCAGTTCCTGCTCGAGATACTCACCGACAGTGAGCACACGGACATTATTGAATGGGTGGGCACCGAGGGCGAGTTTAAACTAAGCGATCCGGATCGCGTGGCACGTCTCTGGGGTGAAAAGAAAAACAAGCCCGCCATGAACTATGAGAAGCTCTCACGGGCGTTGCGCTACTACTATGATGGCGATATGATATCCAAGGTGTCCGGCAAACGATTCGCCTACAAGTTTGACTGTGATCTGAAGCTCCTGATAGGCTACGATGCCAGCGAGCTGTCCCGCTTGGTCAACGAGCGTAAGTGGGCCGAGCATCTGCAGGCGACGCACAAGGAAGCCAGCAACGATGCGACATGACAGCCGGATATCGGTATCAAGGAAGAGCCCTACATCCTGTGGAAGTACGAGGCGCCATAACGTTGGCTTAAACTGTTAGTAATTAGTTTAATGGCCAGATTAACTGTTTTGCATTTAAATTGTCATAGGCACTTGATTTTATTGTTCACTATGTTCATAATATATTGTTATTCACTAAGCACTTTAATCTCTGTCTCCATAAGCTATATATATTATATATATAGGTACTTTAACTATCTATTTAGTAGGCATCGTATATGTTTAGGTATTATATCGAATATTGTTCGATTATATGTTGCGATTTTTGTAAAATCCATTAAAATAAAAAAATCTATTTTCCAAGCGATATTTTGATTAATATTTGTCTGCGATTTTAAGATGGGACGATTCGGTTCGGAAATCAAAAATTATGGATGCCAACGCATTCTATCGAAGCTACAAACCTTTTCGAAACCGAACTAAATTACAGAAGCAAATCTTTCCGAAATCGTTCTTTTAGTGATATATGTTTCCGGCTCGCACAGAAGACATTCGATTGATACTCAAAATTCCACTTTCTAAAGATTTGACATGATTTAATAAAATGGAAAAGGACACAATTTTTCTAAAGAATCAGGTAAGTAGGCATTAAAACTGCCCAGATTTAGTGTAATGCATTCCGATAGTCATAGGCACTTGATTTTATTGTTCATTATGTTCATTATAGATTGTTATTCACTAAGCATTATAATCTCCGTCTCCATAAGCTAGTGCTATAAATATCATATATGTAACATTCTATATGGTAGACACTATATCGAATATTGTTCGGTTACATGTTGCGATTTTTGTAAAATCCATAAAATTAAAAGAAAAATTCATTAATTCGATTTTCATTTTCATTTTTTGTTTTTGTGTTTGTGATTTTACGTGACTAGTTCGCTCTCTAGAGTCTAGATAAACTAACTAAAGCTAAGCTAGATTAAACTAAACTAAACTAAACGTTAACATTTAGCGCCTTGATGTCTAAATGTGCGTCTCAGTTTGTTGATGGCCTGGCGGAATGTGCTCAACTCCGGGCTGGACTCGCGCTGCACTTGGGTGACGTGTAGCGTGGCCAGCTGTGTGCTAGGATAATACTCTTCCTCTTGCCCGACATCGCTTAAAGGCAGCCTAACTAGAGCTCAGTCGTGATCTCGTCCTGCGGCCGAAAGCCCAGTTTGTAGAACTCATCCTCCAGCCAGAGCGAGCTGGCATTGAGATCCGTGATGAGATTGCCGCTCTTTAGCGTGTTGAAGCTGCTGCCAAATGGATCCGAGGCGCGCGGCTCCTCGAACTCGTGCAGGCTAATTAGCGAGCCGAACAGGTGCAGCTTCTGCTGCGCCGAGGCGCTGCTGCTGCGATCACCTGGCAGCAGATCTGCGCCCAGCTTATTATGACTGGGCGTCGTCGTCGCACCCTGCTGCTGCCTGTAGATGCTGTGACCCGGCTGTTTCTTAGCGGGCGCCGCATAGAGCACCTCGGGCCTACCAGCGTGGCTGGCTTGAAAGAAATCAATCAGCTGGCCCACCTGCGGCTTGTAGCGCTCCAGCGCCTGCTCCGACCACGCATATAGACGTGGCCAATCGTGCGGGGGCTGCGTCGGTATTAACTCAATGGGTCTGTTCAGCAGGATGAGAAGCTTGGCCAGATCCCGAACGATGGGTCGATATGAGTTGGCAGCCGCCACCTCGCCGGACAAATAAAGTTTGCGTATTTGTCGGCGCGTGTCATTCAGCATGGCCAGAAAATACTCGGCATTGGGCCGCATCTCGTTCAGTTGACGCATGAAATCTGCCCGATCCATGGTGTTCTCATTGATGAGCTTCTGCTTGACGGACTTGCGCCGACGCTTGCGCCGCACCAGCATCACGGCGACGGCCAGCAGCGAGAGACAGACCAGAAAGCCGCCCAGGAGACCCGCTAGTGCCGCCATCAGCGGCCCAGAGTAGCCAGTGGGCACACAGACGCGACCCATGAACTCTGTGTGGGCGGACCATTGATCCAGATAGCCCGCGGGGCATTCCTCCACGCATTGTCGGGTATCCGTAACCAGGTACAGTGGACACTTGATGCAGCCTGCCTTGTTGCAGCGCAGACAGTGCGAGCTCGTCGTCGCCGGACAGCCTGAAAACAGAGCGTACAGAGAGAGAGAGAATTTGGGTTACTTAGGCTGTGGGTCACAATTGGAGGTCTTTCAATTAGCGCTAGTTCACAATCATCATCAACATTATAATTGTTGCTTATTTGCATAGGGTAAAGTCACATCGCTCCCACAGACAATTCCACAAACACAAATGGCCGCAAATTAAGTCGTCCAATCCTACAGAATTATCACTGGACCACGAATTACACTAGTCAACCAAAGTCAGGCACAAAAGTGAAGAGCATTCATTATGGAAATCCAAATTGGCGTAAAGAGTCTATATACTAAATTTAGTGCCCAAAACAGAATGTCGATATACATTTAATATAGATTTCATTTATTTTTGAGATCACGGCCCTGGACAAACAGATATTGCCAGATTGACTCGAATGATGCTGAGCAAGAATATATGTTCCTTATACGAAGATCCTTTTGCATGTTAGATCACTGGTTCACAGTATACAAATTTTTTGTTAGAGCTCTTTTTTAAAAGCTTGATCAAGCGGAAGCTTGGATTCTTAGTGAATATCACTACGACAGTCCACCTACTTTAGTATATCATTTTATATATAAGGTGCTTACACTCAACAAGCATATTTATATTTATTCCTTGATCTCAATGATGTCTAAATATTTATAAACACAACTAAACCACAGCACCCGATCGGAAAATGGGTGGAAAACTGATTACAAATTGAAATATAAAATACTCATTCTGGGAATTTTATTACAACTTTTAAATCTTAATAAAACCTTTTTAATTAATCAATAAAAAAAATAAAGAAATTCATTTATTTTGAGTGCAGCTTAGTTTATAAATATAAAGTTTTTTTTTTCAATTGTTAACTTTAGACACAAAACACTTGTTGTCCAGTGTTCACAAGCGCCTAATATCTTTGAATATTTCGGGCTTTTCACCAATAAATTATTCAATTCCGTTTTATAAATTCAAAACGTTCTATACGTTAGACTTGAAAGCAGTGTAGTCTAGTGTGAGGCTGTGCAGCATTATAAACTACGCATATCTTTGAGTTTTTCCACTTTAACTGGGCTTTGTCACTGGCTGTTTGCTTAGTATGCTTTCAAATTCAAGGTAAAGTCAACAAAAATTGTTTGACTTTTGGTTTAAAAAAATACAACTAGATATTAACATAAGAAGTGTTGGGCAAACAGAGACAAAGACGGATACTGGATGACAGACAGTCAGCCAGACAAACAGACAGGCAGACGGCGGGCAGACGAACCGACTATGCTACATATTCTCGGAAGGCAGCGCGTCGTCCAATGGGAAAGTTCAACATGAGCCGCCACGAGGAGGCGCATCCAAAGTGTTGTCGCCGAACATCAAAAGCTTTTTTGACAACTGCAACGAGAGACAACGCAATGCGACTCCCAAGCAGGTCCGTTGTTGTCAGCAGCTGGCCCATTTATCTTGGGCCACAAGTGGTTGCTATACCCTGTTCACAAGGTGGATTGATAGTATATTGGTTTTGTGCAATATCCGTCCGTCCGTATGCATACAATTTCGGTGCACTCAAAGCTGGAGACATTAAGCATACGGTATAATCTCGTGTATATAGCCCACAGTTTCTATAGCCATAGCCACTAAATGCTTCTACAATGTGAAAACATATTTTGAAGGAGCAAGACTGGCAGGGCATCAAATTTCAATACAAATGTCAACTGCTGTTGGGTTTGCAGCCCTGGCTCGCATTAAAACCTTTGTTCATGCAGGTAAAAAAGCTGGTTCAGAAAATAAAGCCCAAGCTAAGGCATTGCTGCAAGCCATAAACCGCACCCGAAACAATCTTATATGAGAGTAATGCACTGTGAACAGAGCATTGTGCAGTCGTTCTTCGTTGACTTTGATTTTACTCAGAGCCTTGGCGGTTCCTGTCTGAGCGTCTGTCTGTGGCTCTTTGTCATTGCACCACGTACGCACCTTGTCTGCCCCCATTGCCATGCATTGGGCGTCCATTCGGAGCATCGGGAAGAGTCATCATCAATGGCATTAACTTGTTTTAGCACTAATCAGACACAACCCCCGAGCAGCAACAGCAGCAGCAGCAGCCGCTGAAACTGAAGCGGCAGCAAACCGATTGCCAATTGCCTTTTGCCGACTGCCGTCTGTTTGCCCTGACCATGGCCAATTCCCATGCAAGAGCTGGCGGATAATCAGTCGGAATCGTAACTGGTAATTGATATTGCCCAGTCCCAGTCTCGCCCGCCCCATCCCTGCCCTGCCACCTGCTCTGTCCCAGTGGGCTGATTCTTGGGCGTGCAGTTGATCAACGATAATTGGTTATTAAATGGAAGATTGCTTTCCAATGCAGTCTGCCTGGCAGCTCCTCCAGCTCTAGCGCAAGTCCCATGTAAATGCATTGAAATTACAGAATCGGTCGATTACATTGATATATATATATACGTATAGATAAATGATATCTCGATTGAGCCAGCAGGATTCCTTTGCCACGATCAGCGCATTCGTCGCACAATTTGTCGATTGCCGTGCACTTGAGTGGAATAAATGCATAAGCAATGCTCCAACTGGGGAACGCAGCTCAATAGAGATTCAATTTAACAATTGATTGAATCACAGATCAAACAATTATCATTGCAGCAATATTTGAATTAAGTGTTCCGAGTAATTATACCCTGTACGCAATGAATATGCATAAGACAAAGGTGTGTCAATCTATATAACACATATGGAATACTTCTGATATTCTACGGTATATACATTTTGGATCAGCATCAACGCCCGATCTTGCTCGCTCGACCTATTCTTCCGTCTGTATGAATGTGTTATTCTGTTCCGTTAAACTTAAAGCCCTAACAGACAAATATTAAATGAAATATAATAATAATAAAAAAATGAAGATTAATAAAAATAAATGAATTAATTTTGAGCCGTTTGCAGCGCCATCTACCGGGTTATCAAAACTATTATTTCTATATATTTTTTTGTACAAAAACAAAACTATTAGAAGCTTTGACGTACTGCTTATAATATGGCAATCAAA